AACAGTGCCAGCCCCTGCCCTCCCTCTCCCTAGAACTTCAGAATCAGGTGGGGAGGGGTCTTCTTCCCCAGCCTAGGCCCTGCTTTTCCAGAAGATTCAGCTGAAGTAGACTAACCTCGGGCATCCCCTTGCCTCTGTGGGGCCTGCTGCCCTGGATACTGGGTCTCAGAGACCTGAGTCTGGTCTGAAGGGTTGTAGCTCTATCTAGTGTTATATCGGAGAACTGCACCCCACTCCTTTTCGCACCTTCAGCGGCCTGGCAGAGGACACGGAGGTAAGAGGGAGGCAAGGTCAGCCTTTGACTCCTGGAGGTGGCCCTTTACCTTCCCTGCAGCCTCTAGTCAATCCAGGGGCCTGCTATCAGGGTGCAGAGACACGCTTCAGGAGCTCACTGCCAGGAACTGGGCAAGACAGATTCTGGTCCCAGTAAGGTAAACTTGGCCCTGACCATCAAGCTCTCCTGCCGTGCTGTCCTCCTGGGCACTGCCAGCCAGCTGAACAGGGATGGAAAAGCAGCGTTAAGCCAGGTGGAGTGGCACACATCTGTAATCCCAAATACTCTGGAGGACTGCAGATTTAAGTCTAGCCTGGGCAATTTAACAACTTAGTGAGACCCTGTCTCAAAATAAAATAAGAGCTGGGGCTATAGCTCAGTGCAAAGGCCCTGAGTTCAATTATCAGTACTGACTGCAAAAAGAAAGGGCTGGGGAGGAAGGAGAGAGAAAGGAAGGAAGGAAGGAAACAAAAAAAGAAGAGAGAGAAGAAATAAATGCACTCTGAGCCTACTGTATGGGGGCTCACAGGGAGGAGGAAGGGGTCCAAGCAAGGGTAGACACATCACCTCACCCACAGTGACCCAGGTGGACAGGGGCCATGGCAGTCCCAGCATACTGCCCCCCCTTGGAGCCCTCATATCCTGGACTGATGGTAATTTATTGGGGCCATGCTGTCCATGAGAGGATTTTCCTTGACATTCTTATTATCTCTCTGATTCTTAAATAAAAAATATGAGCAGCGGGTGTTCAGAGCTTCACCTCAGAGAGAGACAAATGGTCTGCTACCACCTGCGTCCTGGAGCCACGCAGCCACGCTGGGGACAGAGCAGCCATGGGCCGTGCCTTCCTCTCCCTGAAAGGGGAGGAGCCTCAGCCTCTGAAAGGGGAATCCCTAGGAGGACCTCACAGGCACAGACCTACCCAGAACCCTCTGGGCCACCTTCTGTTCCCAGGACCCAGCCTCCAGCCTGTTCTGCTCTCTACAGGCTGGGGGCGGGAGGCGTAGTCACCCAGCACTCAGTGGTCTATGTCCCCTTGCTGGGAGCAGAGGACCCGTAGCCCTGCCTTCTGGCCCTGGGGTGCAGTGGTCTCTCCACAGGCTACCTCACCCCTCACCCAGCCCCCAGCAGACCCATACTTCTGGGTGTGAGTCTGGGGGCACCTGAGAGGCCCAAGACATCTTCAGAGTCCCATGGGCCTTGGCCCAGGACATTTCTCCAGGTTCTGCTGACACCTTGAGCCTCCATACACGGAAGCTCTGAGGGCTTCAACAGAAGAGGCTCCCAGTGGGTGCACAGGACCCGTCTCCCAGCTTATCAAAAGAGGTGGGGACACTGAGCATCAAGGCCGCAGTGAGGAGAGCAGAAGGGCCCCAATCTGGGCCCAGAGTTAGCAGGTAGTGCTGAGTCCACACCAGTAGTAAATCCCAGCCTCTCCTCTTCTCCCTCCTGAGCATCCCCTGGACACGAGCCAAGGAGAGTCAAGGGAGACTAGGGTAGCCCCTCCTCACCACTCCAGGCTCCCCAAGGCCATCTGGGTGTCATGGCAACACGGGCAGGAAGCGACTGCCATAGCAACTGGCGTCCAGGGAGGTGTGCTGCCTAGTAACGAGGACCACAGATCTCTCCCACCACATTCTGGACAGCCACACTTTTCTCCAGTGGGACTGAGACTTCCAGCGTCTGGCCAGTGCCCAGTGCTTCTCTCCTACAGGTACCCTAGAGCCCCCCGCCCACTCCCACCCAGGACACCCACTGCAGGGCACTGGGCAAACGTCAGCACACCGGGCCCCATATGTGAGAAGCTCACCATGGGTGCAGGTCCAGGGCTCCTCTCTCTTCTGAGAGACCCCACCTCACAGGTGTCTAACTTAAAGCCACATGGCAAGGGCCAAGGAGAGGGTGAGGATGGCTTTGGGGTGGGGCATGTTAAGAACTGGCTCAGACACAGCAGACAACCCTCCGACAGGGCGCAGTAGGAGGGAAGGCAGGGTGACCAGGGATGTGGGGCTCCTCTGTGGAGCAGGCAGGTGGCAAGAGGATACAGTGCATCCAGGGTGCCCTGAGCACTTCCTCATGGCCGCTTAGTGACCATCGCCCAGCCTGGACACCTGCAGTGGGGCCTGAGGAACTTGCCCAGCTTCTCATCTCCATGACCACCACTATCATCATTATTATTATGGGGTCACTGGTCATGCTGGGCACCTGTGAAGCACCACGGAGACCTGGTAGGAACACAGCACAAGCCAAAGCCACCACTCTGCCCCACCCCTCAGTGCCAGCTGCTCTGGGCCTTTGACTGTGTTCTCACACCATTCCCCCCCCATGGCCTCCTCACCTTAGAGGCCCTCTAAGTGCCCTTCCTAGGCCTCATCTCTGAGCCAAGCACATTCTGGGCCCGGGACACTTCTACCTATCCCTGCGGGGCTATGGAGACAGACACTTGGCAGTTCAGGGAGAGCTCAAGGGCAGCTGAGGCAGGCTTCAGGCCCGTCCTGTCACTTGGGTCCCCAGTCACAGCCCAGTGCTATAAGGTCGGCAGGCACCTCCTGCCCCAGGGTCATGTGTGGTTGGTGTGGTCTGTGCGCCCCTCCTCTGTCCCCCCTGCTGTGTACCCACAAGGGGAAGAGAACAGGAGAGAGGTCATCTGCAGGCGAGAGACCATAGGCGGGGGGTGACGGAGGGGACTCCCTGGGTACGAACCAGGGATGAGCAGAAGATTGGGCTGGCTGGGGCTGGCTCCTGCTCTGCTGACCATTAACAGTTACAGCAGGTCAGCAGGTATCAGGGAAAGCTGCTCTGGAAAAGCCCCCAGACCCTCCTTCCCTTCCAGACCGCAGGGCTGCAGCAGAAGACGTGGCCTTGCTGGGGGAGGCCTTCCTTCCAGAGGCCCAGCTTCCTACAGTCAACTGGGACAGGCAACAACAGATGCCCTGCCCCCAACCCACTGTGTCCCTGAACAAGAACAGAATAAGAAAATAGGACAGAATGAGAGCAGAGCAGGAGGCACTTGAGTAATGGAAGACACAGCTCAGCAATCAGAAATACGACTGCTGAAATTCAAAGTACACTTTTAGATAACACAGATGCACCGTTATGCACTGGATAATGACATTTTGGTCAACAACAGGCCACACTGTAGAACAGTGGCCTGATAAGATGACAGTGAAGAGAGGTGGGGCATAGCTCCTTGGTACAGTGCTTTGCCTGTCCTACTTGGCCCTGGGTGAAAGGGAGGAAAGACAAAAGATTATAATAGCGCTGAAATTTCCCATCCATTCGTGATGTTGTAGCCATCAGGACATCACAGCACAACACATTCCTCATGTGTTTGTCACACAGGTATAAACGCACCTACTGCACTCCAGCCCCACAGAAGTTCAGCACATGTGTCAGGTGCTGCCCAGAATAATGGACACAGATAATAAATGACTATGGCACTGGGTTATCATTCCCTGTACCACACTTTTGTTGTTGTTTTAGAGTATGCGCCTTCTACCTGTAAAAAAAGACCAGTTTCCTATAAAACAGTATGCAGCCTTCAAACAGCTCGTGTAAATTGAGCCTCTCGATTGCATCATTTTCTCTTGTGCTTGATTTAATTTTCTGTTGTTTTGTTCATCACAGCCTGAGGAGCAACAGGCTACACAGCATGCACATACACACATGCGCACACGTACACATGCACGTGTACACATATACAAAGTGTGATCAAAATATAGTGAATATTTAAACTTTTAAAAATTTATTACAGCAAAAGGCACAATCCCACTCATCTTCCTCAAGATATTCCCCCTCACTTTGAAAGCACTTACCCCGCAGTTTTGCCACTTTCTGAAGCAGTTCTGGAAATCCTCTTTGAGCATCTTTACAAGGTGTGTTCAAAAAGATGTTACAGGAGGAGGCCGAGGGCCATCCAACAGAAAGGCAGCCTCATAAGGACACCACAGTGTGTCTCCACCTACCTTACCCACCAAATCTGGTACTGTGCAAATTCTGGCTCTTCCCCAGCATCAAAAATGACCATGAAGGGCCAGTGATATAGCTCTGTGGTACAGTGCCTGCCTGGCAAGTGCAAGGTCCTGAGTTTGATTCCCGGTACCCAACCCCCACCAAAGAAAAGACCATGAAAGGTAAACATTTTGAATCAATTCAGGACACTGAGGCAGCCACAAAAGTGCAATTAAAGACATTCCCAGAAGAAAAGTTCCAGAAATGATTGAGAAAATGGCGAGCAATGAGGGGGAGTATTTTGAGAGGGATTCATATCAATGTGTTTTATTGTAATAAAAATTTAAAAATGACTCCCGAGCGACAAACCACTCCAAAACTTAGTGGTGAAAGCAGCAATTTAACCCAGGGCTCTGAGGTGGGTGGGTGGGTGGGTGGCTTGGCTGGCCCGACCGGCAGATTCTCTGGGTCTCGCTGGGCTTGTCCGCTGCCTTCAGGCAGCAGGAGCTCAGCTGGGACACACTGCAGGGGGGGCCTGGACCCTGGGGCAGACGGGACTGACGGCTATTTCTGCCAGCACTTGGTTTCCTGAGCCACTCTCAACCAAAGAGACTCACTTAAGGTGTTATTCCACAGGCAGGGGAGGGAACTAAGGAGAAGGATGACCTGGTCTCAGGGACTCAGGGGGCAGTGAGGACAGAGCTGTGATGATGGGAGGGGCCCCAGCTTGGTTCCTCCCCTATCCTGGCCCATTGTGACCTCCCTGGCTGCACATGGCCCTTTATGACTGTCACCTGGGGTAGACCTGTGAGCCAGCATGACACCAAAGCGCCCTCAGTAAGAGGGCGGCAGGTCAGCCAGGCCAGAGCCTGGACCTGGGGTCAGAAGGGGTTATAGGGAGGGATGGAGGGGCCCAAAACTCTGGGGCCCTGTGGCCGCTCTCACCCCCAGTGTCCCCCAGCCCCAGCTTCGAGCAACCATGGAGGATGCCTTGATCAGCCCTGCCAGGGATTTGTAAGGTGGCCCTGCCTGGTCCCCCTGCCATCCACTCACTCACTGGAGTCTGCGAGGACTTTCCCAGCTCCAGGGTCAAAGGGTGGAAGTCCCAGGGTGGGAGGCAAGGCCTCCTTTATATCCAGCGAAGAAGAAGAAATGCAGCAGCAGAGAGCAAGAGAGCCAGGGGGGCCAAGACCAGGAGAAACGGAGGTGGGGATGGAGTGGGGCTGGCCCCTGAAACCAGGGTCAGAGCAAGGGCTACCCAGGCAAGGGGCATCCCCTAGCTCAGGGCCTAGACTCTGCCCCTGCCCCACCGTGCCACCAGGAGGAGGGGCCTCAGTTTCGCCCAGGGCAGTACCCCCACAGCTCCAGAGAGAGCGGCTGGGATCTACAAAACCATCCTTTCTCCAGCTGGAGCAGGAGAATCACAGCCTGGTGAGTGCAGCTCTGCCAGCTGAAGGCTCCAAGATGTTCCCCACTGCCCAGGCCTCTGTCTGCCCTCAAAGCCTCAGCCCACCACCCCAGTTTCCTGCCTGAGCAGTGGCCATGACAGGTGACCCCATCTCTGTCTCCAACCCCAGAAAAGGCAGAATCAGGACCTCCGGGAGCAGCTGGGGGCAATGCTGGGGCCAGGGCAGTTCCTGCCTCTATGTACTGAGCACTCCAGCTGCTCAGCCCTGGCCTGGGTAAGTGCCAGCTGAAGCCCTGTCACCCCACACAGCCTCACCCCCGCCCCCATGACCGCAGGCCACAGGCCTTGGCTCCTGCTGACCTGGGGCTCTCCGGCAGTCCCCCGAGTCAGCCAGCACCCGGCCCCCAGAGGACAGGGCTCCTGTGCAGCTGCTGAGGCGTGAGCTGTGCCGGGGGGAGGAGGCCTTTGTGCAGCAATCCCAGGTGGGCCTGGCAGGGGCAGGTGCAGGGGCTGGGCCCAAGGAGGGGCTACTCGAGCTCACGCTGTGCCCCGCCCCATCTAGAATGAGCTGCAACAGATCCGACTGTCCTTTGAGAGGAAGAAGATGGCCATCACAGAGGTGCCCAGTGAGCCCCGGGCAGGAGGGCTGCAAGGGGATCCTCTGTGGGTCTAATTCTTGGGCATGACCCCGTCTTCTCCACTGCTAGGTATGGGATGGCGTGGCAGAGGTACACATGGCCCTGAACAACCAGGCCACTGGGCTCCTGGTAGGTCCCCAAGGTGACAGTCAGGAGCAGGAGGAGCGAGGGAAGGTGGGGAAGGCTGGGGATGGGAAACCGGGAGGGTGGCAAGGTGACTAGGGTGGAGAACCCAACCCACCTTCTCTGCCCTCCAGAACCTCAAGAAGGACATTCGGGGTGTGCTAGACCAAATGGAGGACATTCAGCTGGAGATTCTGGGGTGACGTGGGGGCCCAAGGCCTGGCTGAGCCACATCAGGATGGGGGTCCAGTCTCTGATCCCATAGTTCCACAGAATGGGGTGGCACCAGGCTGGGGCAGGGGGCGTGGTCCTGATGTGCCTCACTCCCCACCCCAGGGAGCGGGCCCAGTGCCGCAGCCAGGCCAGGAAGGAGCAGCAGATGGCATGCGTGGCAGTGAGTTCCCCATCCCACACCCATCCCAGTCTGGAGACCTGGCCCCACCCTGGGGCCCTGCTGTGGCTAGGCCCCCAGGCCAGGAACCCCAACTCCTGACCAGAGTAACCATGGAAAATAAGTTACTGGGGAGGGGTAGGGTAGGCCCACAGCTGGTGGACCCCATAGCTGAGGACCCCTACCCTCTGCCACAGCCCTCAGCACAGGCTCTGACACGGCACCCTCCCCAACAGAAAGGGAGGCCACAGCTGGGATGTTCCAAGGGCTTCAAGGGCCAGCTCTGGTAGGTCACTTTGCGGGCAGAGCCCATTCTCCGGGATCATCCCCACAGTGCCCCCTCCCCCTGACCACCACCGCCCACAGGCTGCTGGCCCTGAGGCTGCTGCTGGGCACCCTGCTGGCCTGCACTGCTGCCTACGTGTACGTGGTGGACCCTGCGCCCTTTGAGGGGCTGGTGCCGCCCCTGCTGAGCCGAGCCACAGTCTGGAAGCTCCGGGCCCTACTGGGCCCCTTCCTGCGTCTCGAGGTAGATGACTTCCTGCCCTTCTAGGCCGGAAGCCCAGTGGCCCCAGCGAGGAGGAGGCCAGGCTGCCGGCGCTGCCCCACGTGTCCAGTGGCCCCGCCGGCTCCTGTTCATGGCACCGCCAAGCACCATCCCCGCCAGGAGCTGTGGAGAAGGGTGGAGGCGGGGTCTGTCCTGAGGGCTGGGCCTGTGGCCGGACATATAGTCATGGCATGTTTGGCGTGTGAGCTTGTTTCCAAGGAAACCAACCTGGGGGCAAATGTTTTGAGGCTTCCCAGGCGCACCGTCAGTCTAGCAGAGCGGCCTCTCGGAGGGGGGCCCCGCCTGCCCCCCAGCATCAGTGCTGGCTCCCCTTCCCGCATTCATCTGGCCACTCTGGGTAGCCTCCCATGAGGGGCTCTACGGTGAGGGTATCAAGGAAGGTCTTCCTAAGAGGCACTAGCCCGACAAGGACCAGGGGTCCTTTGTTCTGAGTCCACCAGAGCCCTCAACCTACTGAATACCCTCACCCCGTCACCATCCTGAGGGCTACTGTCCCCTCTTCGACCCAGGGTCTCTGTCCAGCCTAGCCCCCTGGCACACTGCCCAAGGCTCACACAAGGGGACCACATTGTTGGACAGAGCCATGGAGGTAAACACCAAAATTTTTTTATTTTGGGGAATTCAATTGGCAGAGGGGATACCTCAGAACAATAGAGAATAGCTTTGTGGCTCTCTTGTCCCCAAATGGGAGACATCTATTGCCCAGGGTAGGTCCTGGGACAGGGCCCTAAGCAGGAAGAGGGCTGGCAGAGCTCCATCCTGCTCTGCCCTGGGGGGGCCTTTAGGCCTAGCAGGCTGGGATCCTGCAGGGCTGTGGCCCTCAGCCCTCAACCTCCCAGGGGCATCATCCCTGGATACAGACAGCCCAAGCGGGGCCAGAGAAGAGCTGTGGACGGGAACCCATGGGTGGGGCAAGGAAGGGGCCCAGCCAGACGAGCTGAGGCCCATGGCCCACAAGGCTGGTGGCTCCAGGTTAAGGCATCTGTTCCTGTGAGGGAGTAGGGTAGGGAGAGTGCAGTGACGGCAGGAGCAGCCTGAGACCCCCACCCCAGCCCAACCCGCAGCGGCCGGGGTCCCGAGAGGAATGGTTTAATCTAAAGTGCTTGGTGGGGCAGGGAAGCTGGGGTGAAGGTCGTGCTGGTCCCAGTGGGGTTTCCACCCCCTGCAGCAGGTGGGGGACTTCCTGAGGTCACCTGGACACAGGGTCACGGGCCCTGGCAGGCTGGAGTCGATCAGAACATGGCTGGTGGAAAGGGGACCCCCTGCCCACACCCAATGTGCCCCAGGGTCCACGGCAGCCTGGCTCCCTGGGTCCCCAGTTGGGCTATCCAGGGCCTCAGAGCTGCCCACTTGGCAACTGGCTAGGGCCCCGAGAGGCTGGGGAAAAGACTGGATGCGGCTGAGTGCAGGCGGCACATGGTCCCGCGGGGGGTTGCCCCAGAGGCTGGGCTCCAGGGGCCCCGCAGCGGCGGGCGGTCCTCAGGGAGGCCAAGGTGGCACAGGTGCAGGCTGGGGGTCCCCCTGGGCTGGCCACGCCGCCCCCATGCGCGGCTACAGGTGCCTATTCGCCCCCTGCGGGCCGTGGCGTCCAAAGAGAGAAGCAGAAAGGTGGAGGTCAGCATGGGGCAGAGCTGCAAGATTCCAGGTTCAAGGTAGCTCCCTCTGTCCCTGAGCTCCCATCCCCCAGCCCTGCCCAGGCTCAGCCCCAAAGAGCTATGGATTCCTGGCACTCCCCAATCCCATCCCGGCACATGTCAGACACATGTCAGAAAGTACAACAACTCCTAGAAGGTGCCCCCACTCCACAGTCTCCAAGTCCTTGGGGTGAGTCCAGCTCCAGCCTTTCCCCACACACCTAGTTAGCACCAACAGTGACTTAGACCAGGGTGGACAAACTCACACTTGCCAACCAAAGACCCACCACCAGCCCCCAGACTTAGTTTCAAATACCCTAAAGAACATTCTGCCCTGTGACAGCCAGCCACCCCTCTCCTAATACCCCCATCTCCTGGGGCCCCCTGTACCCAAAGTCCTGGCTTCGCCAAGGAAAGGATCAAAATGACTTTTTCTTTTTTTAATAAAATTATAGATATATAGATGTAGATATAAAAACATAAAACAGACACAATGCAAGCAGATGCTGCCATGTGCTTACTCTCAGGTCCCTGATGCCAGGGGAAGCACTGACCTCCCTCTCCAATGTGCTTTCCACACGGCACTGGCCAGGCCAGGGCCAGGGACTTCACTCGCCTTGGGGCGGGGATTCTCCAGTTTGGCAGGGAGGGCCTGAGGGCTGGGGATGGGGCTCCAGGTTTCACTGGCTCCTGGGGTGGTGTCTGATCTACATGCCTGCGCCCACACCCTCCAACCCTCATCGACCCCCACAAGAGCACAAAGCAGAAGTTAAGGCTTCAATGAAAGGGACAGTGGCGGCCGAGCAAACACACTGGACGTGGCACGGCAGCACAGCACACAGACATGGGGACACAAGCCCGCAGGCCAGGCAAGATGGAACACACGGAGCTGGGACCCCAGCACAGGTGGCTGCCTGCCTGTCCGGCTGTCCACCCATCCATCACAACCCAGAGCAGGCCAGGGCTGCAGAAGCATCAGCCTTGACAAGCTGCAAGCTGCCAGCCAGTTGGGGAAAGGCAACGTGTTAGGGGCAGCTGGGAGGGCAGGGCCCCGCCTCTGTTCATCTCAGGCCGCAGTGACCCATCTGTAAGGTGAGTGGGTAGACCAGTAGAATTGCTGGAGACTGGCCTAGGGGGACGAGGGTGACAGGGTGGTGAGGCTGAGCTTGGCCAATGGGAGATGCAATCTGGGTCCCCCTCACTGCCCAGCAGGGGCAGACACAGAGGCCCACATCCTGGCAACCCTAGGCCCAGCTTTGCCCTGGGACCCAATTTCCTGGTGAGATGAGTGGACGGACTGGCACAGGGTGCTGGGACAAGCTTGTGGAAGCGTGGCTCTCTCCTGCTGATGCGTCCACACCAGGCTTGGGCGGTGGCCTCTCCCTGGGGCAGAGAAGTTGGTGGGGGTAGGGGGAACCACCATGGGGTCCTGGTCCCTGTGGCGTCATGGCAGACAGGTGGTGGTCAGTTCTCACACCGAGATCTCGTACGTTGTCCCACCCACGCCGGACACCTTCTTAACCAGCGTGTGCCGGGCAGGGCTGGCGGAGGGCCCTTGGGGGCCAGCAGCAGGCCCCAACCAGGCCAGGCCTGGGGACTGCCCGTTAAGCTTACTTGGGGGGGTCTTCAGCTGAGGGTGGTCCCTGCATTAAAACAAGCACATACACGCATGTACACGGTGAACATGGGATGGCAGTATGACAGGACACATAGACGTGGACTACAGCCCTGTGTCCTGACCCTGGGTTGTACTGTCACAGGACAGACAGATGTCAGACATCTTGGGTGGATCCCTTGTTCTCTCCCAGCTGGCACTGGTCAGAGAACAGGCTGGCCAAATGGACATTAAACTGAGCCCTAGGCCTTACCCCACCCTGTCCTGGTGCGCTAGGCTGGGAAGCCTACTAGTAATGCTGTCTGGCCCCTCCCTGCCCCCTCTTAGAATGAGGGGCTTCCCTTCTGCCTTCTGGCCTTGCCAGTGCTGACCAAACCTTGCTGCTTAAGCAGCCCCTCTATCCCCCAACTGCTATGCCTGCCTCACCACAGTTTCCTCCTGAACCCCAAGAAACCAGCTAGGCTCCAGTAGCATAGGGTGGGGAGCCTTGCTCAGGGCCAGGCTACACTCCCCAGCCTCCTTTTGGCCCAAGGGTCTGGTCAGGGGTCTCTTCCACGCCCTCATCTGCCATTAGGAAAAAACTGAGCCTTTGCTCAGGGCAGCTGGGGCCTGGATGGAACAGTGCTAGGACAGTGCCACAAGCTGCCCAGCACGAGGACTTGTCCAACATAGTGCTCAACCTGGCCCTTCAGGGCAGCCTCAGTTAACAAACCACTGGAAAGCCTTGGTTTCCCAAGTAGAAGCTGGGTAGCTTGTTGCACTGTGATACGATGTCCATCAGCCTTACCCTCTTGTGGGTACACCAAGGTAGACCCAAGGAGAGCCCCAAGCAGACCCAGGAAGGCCAGAGCCTGTGACCCAAAAGACTCATGCTGTGGTTTGGCACCAGTTCCACAGCAAGTTATCCCTGGGCCTTTCCATCTGCTGGGTCTGTGGAAGCTCTGAGACAATGTGAGATGTTGTGCTCAAGGCACAACTCCTCCTCTCCTCACACACACTGGAGTGTGCCCACAAGAAACCTCAGAGCCGGGCCAGCTTCATGTGAGGCAACTAAGGGGTCTTTGAGGCAAGATGAAGCCCACCCTCCCTGCCTGGTCCCTGCAGCCACCACAGAGTACCAGGCCAAGGGGGTGATGCCCTGCACAGGAAGCCCACCCACACCGCCAGCACCCACCTCTGTACAGCCAGCGAGGGCGGCCGTTCTGGGAGGTCCGTGTGGATGAAGGCGACAGCTTTGGGGCCCACGTAGGAGGGTGAGTGGGGAGTGCCAGGTGGAGAGGGCAGGCCTTGGCGAGCAGGTGACCTGTGTGAGCCACTGCCCGGCCGGGGCCCTGGGGCACTGCTGCTGGCTTGGTCTGTCTGCAGGGAGGAGGAGGATGTCCGTGGTGCCCGGCTCACGGAGCTGCTCAGTGAAGATAGAGATGTCTGCAAGGCAGGGTTGCGGGCACCACCAAAGCCAGGCCCAGCCACGAGGTCATCTCTGGAGCCGTAGCGCAGCATGGGGCCTCGGCTGCCCTCAGACAGCATGCTGGCCTGCTGCAGGCTGTAGGAGCTGGGTGCGTCATAGACGCCCGAGTCACCGAAGAGCGAGTCAGCCTGGGAGCGCAGCAGCCGCTCTCGCTCTTCCCTGTCCTTGCGCTCCTGGATGGAGGCCATGATGGTCCGAGACAGGTTGTCATAGCGCACAGGCGAGGGCTCCCGAGGCCGGGGGCCCAACACAGGACTGAAGCTGCGGGGTGGGGGCCGTGGTGGATCACCCCCTACCCCAGGGTGCAAGTAGGGCGAGCGGTAGCTGGCTACACCAACTGAGGGGTGCGCTGGACACGCGTGGCTGCTGGGTGAGCCAGGGTTAAGCAGGCTGTCATAGGACAAGCTGCCATTTCGATTGGGTAGAGCATGAGGGGCAAAGAGGCTGCGATGGGGAGTGGGGGGCCCACCCTCAGACCGCAGGGGCTGCAGGGCCACGTGGTCCCCACCTCGCCGGCTGGCAGCCTTGAGGCTCAGGGAGCGCAAAGCACCCGAGAAGGCATCGGTGGCACTGAGCGGCGGGGATGGCGGGTAGGCCGAGTGCAGGCTACCCGGGCCATGGTCAGGGAGGTCCAAGCTGGGCTCAGACACAAAGTCTAGGCTGTGGGTGCTGTCATCTGCCAGGGTCAAGGAGTCAGGACCTGACACGGGGACCTGTAAAGGAAGAGAGAACTGGCTGGTGCATACCTGTTAACCCCTGGAAGGCAGCCACCAGGTGGTCTGACCACATGGAAGCCATAACTCTGCTGAAACAGCCCTACTGCCAGGTGTGCCTAATACATGGTCCGAGATATTCTGCCTGACCACAGCTCCTGCTCTCATGCACACTGTGGAGAGCAGGGTGGGGCCAGCACAATGGGCCCAGAGCTTACCTCTCAAGGCAAGGCTGTATGAGACCTGCCACTGTCACAATCCCCAGGAGGGACCACATGGGCCACACCCATGTCCACGGTGACTCTGGGCCCAAAGGCACAGGGGCTCTATAGCGCAAGGCAGAGCTGGCTGCTACAGACACAGGGTTGTGCCCAGGGAGTCCAGCCAGCCAGGAGCCACCCGCACAGGGCAGCCTCAGGCACAGGGAAGCTGGGCCTCTTTTGGGCTCTGTGACTGGCACAGATGGCTTGGGTGGAGCAGGGCCACAGGAACCTCAAATCCCAAAGAGGAGGAGGGTAAATGTGACCAGGATCCAGACTGAATATACTCTGGGACTGTGATCAGTCTTGGGAAGGAGGTGACACAGGGAGGGCACCTAGAACCCCCCATTCCCAACCAGAGGTGATCTGCCTGTGGGGCAGGGTCACTGTATCCATCAGGACTGGACTCTTGGCCAGGGAGGCCTAGATTCACTATGGCACCCAGTGACCCCAACTGCAGGGGGTAAGACACAGATCCCGAGGAAGGATTGCTGGCAGTGCAGCTAGTTTACAAGGCTCTCGGTGGTCCTCAAGCAGAGAAGGCAGCCTGTTGTACAGGCTGTCCAACGCTGCCAGCTGCTCCACAGTGATGGACAGTAGAGCATTTAACTTGGGGAAAATAAATGTGCTTCCTCAAACAAATCTCAAATTCTTCAGAAGGCTTCCCGTGGGCCTCACAGAGTGACTCATGGGGGAATTCCAGGAACGCTGACACTCTGCTCCTGGGGGCAGCCACCCACTTGCCCTATGGGCAATGCCAACCAAGGGACAGAGATGCCCAGTTGGGTCCACAAGTGTCAGCCCCTCCCAGGACACCTTACCCTGCTCTCCTCCAATGGACCTCAGGTCAGGGCACTCACAGGCTGGGGTCCTATGGACATTCCTGTGGCTAAAGGGCAGCCCTCTTGGGGAGGGGAAAGGGTGGGTGAGTAGGGCCTCTCAGGACAGGGCTGGTCTCCTTACCTGCTCGCTAGGCCCACAAAAGGGTGCCTTTGGACCCGTGGGGAAGGCTGGCCGGAATTTGTACATGGCAGGTGTCGGAGGGCTGGTCCGCTGTACTGACAGAGAACTCTCTGGGAAGAAGGGCCACTGTCAGACTGGGGTCAGATGAAGGTCAGACCATACCCCTCCCCAGCTTGGCTGCCTCCATCTCACCAGCACTGCCAGGTCGCGGGGTCTTCAGGTCACTTCCAAAGCTGCTGGCCTCCATCTTTGGAGGCAGTGGAGGCCCCAGGTCCAGCGGCTTCTCATCCAGCCTATCCAGGCTGCCTTTGGACTGGGAGGATCAGGGTCAGTGGGGAGGGGGCGCTTGGATGAGGGGTGGGGCTTAACTGAGGATCCCTTTCTGGAACCCTGGGACCCTACTCCAGAATTAGCCCAGTTCTTCCCCTTCCACCTCTGCTGGGCCCCTCCAACCTGCCTGCTTCCCTCCTCTAAAGGTCTGACTCCGATCCCTTCCATCCCAGCCCAGGCCCCCACCTTGCTGCGGCCAAGGCCTGCCTTCAGCCCGTTGTCGCTAAGCTTGACCTTGAGTGGCGCAGCGTGCTCCAGGAGCTCAGGCCGAAGGAAGGGTGGCTTCAGGCTCACAGAGAGTGCCAGCCGGGGTGGCTCCACCACATACCTGCACCAGGGGCACAGGCGTCAGCAGCCAGGCAACCCAGCTGAGAACACACACCAAAGGCAGGACCAGCCCCACCAGACAAGAGCAGGAAGGGCCTGGGCTGAGGGTTTGAGGCTGCCCACCCCACAGGTGCCTTTAACCCCGTCCAGGCCGGGCCTCACCGGGGTGCCAGCGGGCTGCACAGAACATGCTCCACGTTCCCATAGCAGCCTCGGGTGAAGGGGTTCACGCCCCCACGGAACTTCCCAGTCACCTGTGAACACAAGACACTCAGCCAGCCTAGCCACCCAGGGTCCAGGCTAGGGAAGGCAAGGGTACGACAAGGGCTGCTGGGGTTCCTCTAAAGTGGTCCTTTTGGCAGGCAGATTGGGTAGCGTCAGCACAGGGGAGTCTCTAACCCAGGTCACCCCCACCTATCCCACAGGGAGCTGCAGAATTTCCAGGCTGAGCGGCTGGCGGCAACAGCTTCCACAGCGAGGACTGTGCAGGGGTACCCCAAGCCCCGTTCTCCGAAGCAGCACACGCCACCTCACCCAAGGGCTCTGCAGGCCCTGCCCCATAGGGTCTGCACCTGCTCGTTGGTGGTGCGCCCCCGAGTGACCAGCACCACGTGGAAACCCGTGAGGCCGATGACAGGAATGAAGAAGAGGCCAGCCACACACATGACGGCCATGCTGGCCCGTTAAGGCCAATGGCTGCAGATGAGGACAGACAGACAGACCGCACTGTGCTGGCAACACAGCAGGTGCCTGTGGACAAACACACCCACCTCTGCCCATCTAGAGATGGTGACTCGCCCACTGGGAGCCCCAGGCAGCTGACCGACCCCTTGGAGCCCCAATTCTCCCTGAGATACATGTGGCTTTGGGAGGAAGGATACGTGATGGTGGTGTGGGCAGCTCCCAGACCCTCAGCATGGTTCAGCACATAGACCAGGCCAAAGGCTACAACGCCCACCATATGTGCACTGAGCGACAGCAGGAACAGGAAGAAATAGCGGTAGTTGCGGCGTCCAATGCAGTTGTTGACCCAGGGGCAGTGGTGGTCAAAGTCCTGAGCAGAGGCAGCGCGTCAGGACACACGATGGATGGGACTGGGTGTGGGGCCTGATTAGTAGGGGCATGGGGCAGTGGGGTGGTCACCTCTACGCAGTTGTCGCAGACGCTGCAGTGCGAGCAGCGTGGTGGGCGGTAGAAGTGGCATGTGGCACACCACTTCATGCGGACCTGGATGCCCCGTACATCTACGTTCTTGTACAGCGGGGCCCGGAAGTCGTCCTCCTTGTCTTCGTCCTCGTCCGCTGCAGATCAGGACCCAGGCGGAGTGGTGAAGGGACAGGAAGGTGACTTCCCTAGCAGGAGGATCCCCTCCCCAGTCTCTGCTCAACCCACTGTCTGGGAACCCCCATGTCTCTCCAAAGTCAGCCACTCATGCTCTAAGGAAAATGAGCAAATGAACTACCCCACCATAGGGCCCTACCTCTGGGGAAGACACCAGGGTCCATAAAGGTGGCCATGCTGAAATTGGCCAGGACAAAGAGGAAAATGATGCCATTGTAGACAGGAACAGCTGGGGACACAGCTCTTGTCAACCACGGGCACCTGCAATCAATAACCAGGCAGAGAGCTGGGTCTGGGGGGCTGTGGTGGGGAGGCAGAGTACAGCAAGGTAATGAATGTAGCTATGTGTGTGCAGGCTGGGTCTGCTAAGCCAACAGCAGGGTTTGAGAGGTTGCTATACGCCTCCTAGGACCGTCAGTCCCTCATCCCACGGCTCCCTGCATGCCAGTTCTGGCCCCAACAACCTCCAGGGTAGCTGTCTAGAACATGATTCAAGGTAAGGAAACAGGCTCAACAGAGGCCCATCAGGAGTGGTGGCAAATGCCTGGATCCCAGCACTCAGGAGGCTGAAGCAGTAAGATTGCTGCAAGGTCAAGGCCACCCTGGGCTACAAAGTGAGTTCAAGGCCAGTCTGAACAGCATAGTGAAACTGTCTCAAAAAACCTGTCTCAAAAAAAGAGACAGAGAGAGATACCATCAGCATGGGGTCACTATAGGAAGCATGGCCCAAAGCAAAACCATTTACACACTTCTACCCCAGCTACAACATTTCCACTCTGCTACCCTGGGTTGATGGGAGACAGGGGGCATAGGCAGGAAGTGAGGGCCCAGTACAGGAAATAAGCCTACTGTGCCCATGTGCTGTGACAGATTGAGGCCAATGGCCCACCTGGGCCGCTCAGGTCACTCCTAGATCTCACCCAGACCTGTCCTCAGTCTGGCAGAATTCCCTTACCAGGAAGACTCTGGAGTCTAGGGTGTGTAGCCCCAAGCCTGGATGTACATGCACAGGGAATATCCCCCTGCTCTTCCCTGAAGGGCACAGCCCTGCCCAGGCAGCCTCTTCTGTTCAGTTTGTTTGTCACCTTGCTCTCCAGATGGCAGCACAGAACACTTGAAGACACTGGAAAAGCACAAGGCCCTCAGCACCTCCCCACTCCAGCACTTGGCTCTGGGGCCGCCCACCCCCTCTTCCGGGAAGCCTTCCAGGACTCCTGGCTAACTTCCACAGCCTTCTTGGAAGGGTCTTGTTTTGCATATGTCCCTGATGCACACCTGCCTCAGCCCTCATGGAAACTGACCAGAGTCCGCTCTATGCAGACCCAACAGCCTCAAACTTCCCAGCCCTGACCCTGCAAGGGGGTCCCTGGGCCAACCCACTCAGTCTCTCCTGCTGGATTCCCTGCACCCAGCTGCTGTGACATGTGCGGGGGCACGCAGGAGGTTCACTCCCCTCCCAGCACTCAGGCCCTCTATGTGGTAGAGGGTCAGTGGGGATTTCCCATGGGAGCCCTGACCGGGAGGGTGGAAAGATGGTGACACCAGCAGGGCCAGGAGTCTATGGTCCTGTGCCACCCCAATGCACACTGGCCACACGGTGCGCCCCCGCCTGCCTTGGCCAGGAGCCAGCCCTGCCACCCCGGCAACCACCTCCATGGCAGCAGAACTATTTTTAGTGGAAAGCAAGAGGCTATTTAAAGATTCTGCTTCCCACGGCAGTACCCTCTGCGGGACCAAGAGCCATGAATTACCCCTTCCTCTTTTCCACAGGCTAGTGAGCATACAGAGTGAGGACTTGTGCCATAGCCATAAGGGTCCCTCTGCCTGGAGGATATTTCTCCATCACCCCTGTCCTGGTGGCTTGGAGCATTCACCCGCCACATGCCTTCCTTCCATGTTCCCCACCTCTGCCTGGCATACAGATAGCATTCAAAACGCCTGTGATCTCTAATCCAACACCATTCAGCAAGGCAACGGTAAGCCTCCTGGGCATGGTCAACCTGGCAGGGTGGGGTTGGGGGACACAGTTCCAAATGCCCGTGGGGATGGGCTTGACAGGCAGGGGAAAGACATGCTCCAGGTAAACTGCCTCAGCCCTCCAGGGAAAGATGGGGCACCCTGGAGTCCACTAGGTGGTATAAGAACCCTCCCTATGGTGTCCCCTGGAAGGGCTGGCTACATGACCCGGGAAAAGTGAAAACATGGACCCTTTATCAAAGATTCAGAATTTTAAGACCATGAGAACAGAGTATTAGATTCTCACGGTGTCTGTAGAGCCAGCCTGCAAGGAAAGCAGGGTGCATACCAAGGTAGGTTGCAAACAGGGTGGATGTATACATAGACATAGATGGTGGGGGTGGGGATGTCATGCCCAGGCAGGAGGACATGTGGGGATACCAGGTACAGGCTCCATTCTTGCCTCCAAGGCCCGGCTTGTACAGTGCATCCTACCGTGAGGAGTGGGACACCAGCCGTCCTCCCATTTTGTAGGCAGGGAGAGGAGGATTAGAAACCTTGGGACCATTTGGTGTTTGAGCTGGGCCCTGCCTTTTGGCCCTCAGCTGGTATCTCAGAGTGTGCTCACCTGAACCTCACACTGACCAAAACTCCCCACCAATAGGTAGTACTATACTACTATGACCTCCTTGAACCTTGATTACCCTTCAGGCCAGAAGGATAACACAGCAGCCCTGAGTGAGATGCCCAGGGGTGAGTGGAGACAGTCAGCATGCAGTGACAGGACTACATTTGGGAATTTGCACCTGATGGGGCAGCATTTGTGCTGAGGTGCTGGGCAGCCTCTGTTCAGTGTGGGCATTGCCTGCCTGAATGTCTGGGAGGGCCCAGAGGGGGTTTGCCTGGGTCTCAGAAAGCTCTAAGGAGGTACAGGTTCTGTGACTGGGACCTGGGCCACTGTCCTCCCACCATCTCCAGCCCCCAAGATGGAACTAAGCTCAGGACCATGCATTTGTCATCCTCCAGGTGCTATCACAAGGGTGCTCAGGCCTTGAGCCCCACCTAAGGCTGCGGTTGGCCCACCAGCCAACCTATGAGGGCCCAGGCAGGACTCAGAACTCAGGAAACACGTGCACTAGACAGAGGAAGAGACAAAGAACACACACAGACCCCATGCACAGACATGCACATGTGAACATGACATACACACATGTGCACACATAAACATGCTGCAAGAAACACAAGTACATGTGTGCACACATGCACAGGGATGAGTACACAAGCAAGATACATGCACATTCAGGGTCAGAGACATCCACAGACACACACACTTGTGTGCACATGCATGAAGATACACACATGGACATAACTGCACATTCATTTACACACTGACACGTACACATGGACATATGTGAACACATATGCACAGGCATGCTCCTCCTTCCCCTGTCCCCAGTCCTGTCCATCTCTAGCTCCACTGCCCCTGTGCCCCCGACTTCTGGGTTCACACTGCTCCTGTGGACAGAGTAAATATGAGAACACATGAGGATCCCTGAAGACATGCAAGGGTGTGTGAGGACACATGAAGACCAGAGTGGACATACAAAAGCATGCAAAGATATACCGGGACACATGAGGACACTCAAGGACACATGAGCTCAAGGAAAGACCGGGTAGGCAAGAGTGCTCCACCCAACTTTGTGTCAGTACTAGTTCACTTGAGGAAGTTCTTCTGCCTGCTGGGATGACACCCACACCTGCCCAGGCCTGAGGTATAGACCAGGCCACCCCATCCCTGGCTGGCTTCAGGAGGCCCCAGCTTGAGCCTGGAGATTGCAGGAGTATCAGAAAGACAAGAAGACTGCAGGCCCCAGGCCAGGGTGGGGCATCTGGACTTCTGTGAGCCAGGCAGGGGCCAATTACTTCTCTCTGACGCCCTCCTGGATGACCCAACTTGTGCTATGGGCAAGACAGGGTCCTGGAGAGGCCCTACACTGGGGCTCCAAGTGTTCCCCCTGATCCAACCCCACCTCTTCAGTGGCAGGGACCTGGGCAGGACACAAGACCCTACTGTGTGCTCCCCCCAGGTGAAGGTCCCAAGTCCCACCAGGACCAGTAGGAACACCATCCAGGCAAGAAGGTGGCTTTAGGCACAGAAAGTCTGCCACAGCTAAATATGGAATGGAAAATTTTAACTCAGATGTTTTCATTTAAATCAGGTTCTTCAAAACTGTTTGAGAGTGGCACTGGCCCATGGGGGTACCCAGGCCCCACAGGCCAGCAGCCACTCTACTCTGATCATTCCAGGCAGGACCTCTAGGCTCTGAAGCACCTGCACCCACCTGTTTGATCCCTCCAGACACCTGACAGATGGGGAACAGGCTCAGGAAGCCAGGGATGCTGGGAGTCCCCAGGTCACACACAGTGTCCTGGCAGGACACACTGGCTTCTACCCCAGATCCTTGTCCATGGAGGCCCAGTCAGCACTACTTAGCCCTCCTCTACCCGACCCTTGCACTGTGGCTGGCTGGGACCCAGCCCTGCAGTCTGTTGTCCTAGGCTGAAGCTTCAAGCATGAAGAGGGCTCAAGCCCATCTGGGGACCATCCCATACGCCTCAGACAGACACAAGTCAGCCCAACCCAGCTCTGCAAATGGGGGCCTGGCCAAGTAGCCTGAGCCCTCTGGTGTGCACAGGGTCCCCATCATTCTGCAAAGTGGTTCTAGAGAGAGGCAGCGCTGAGGCCTGAGGTCTTCAGACCTCTCCTAGCACCTGCCCCAGCCTGGTATGCACAGCAAGGATTCCGGGGGCCCAGGAGTACACAACCCCCAAAAAGCTTCTTGAAAGAGGCCTTGGAGAACCTGCTTCACAGCATGTACCCCTTCCTCAGAGAGGGTACACCCCACATCAGGCTGCCTCCCTTCACTGGAGCCTCTCCTGCAGGCACTGGAGTGTCCCATTAGCGCCACTGCCCCTCGGTGAGCAGGCTGTTAGGGAGGTAGCCCTGGTTCTCCAGGCTTCAGGTTCTTTGTCTTGCCCATAGCACAAAATAAGACACCAGGAACCGCTGCCCTGAGGGGGGCAAATGACATTTACTGAGTACAGAGAGGGATGTGGTGGCCACCCAAATCCAGTAAACAACAGTGCCCAGTGTGGGCCCTCAGGGCAGGGCGGGGAGCTACTCCCCTTCCTAGGTTCTGGTAAGAGGCACAGTGGGCCTGAGCCCAGACACATGGTGGAAGAGGGACATAAAGGGGACAAGAAGCTTGTCCCAATAAAGACACCCACCCAGCACAGCCACTAGACCTGCCTAGAACCCCACCTTCCCAGAAGCGATCCGCATGGCCTGTCCTCAGCCAGCTCCTCAGAGATTTCTATCAGTTCTCAGGTCCTCAGTCATCTAGAGGAGCCCAGCTGAGCCAGAATGGGACAAGTCAGGACCCCCAGTAGCCACTGAACTCAGGGAATATGACCTTATAGTCACCACACTCCCTGGCCCCAAGGAACAGGCCTGGCTCCAGAGCCTCACTAGATGCCTGCTTGGAGCTGAAAGCACTGGAGTCCCCATACTGCCAAAGGGTTACTCATGGCAACGTCTTCCAGGTACAAAGCCAACTGGAGTCAGAAGGGGCCATACACAGATCAGGGCACTGGCCCCAAAGGGAACATCACAGCTCAAGAACACCACTGCCCATGACTCTAAAATCCTAGCTTCAGGAATAGTGTGGAAGCCTGGTATAGTAGCTCATGCCTGTAATTCCAGCATTTGGGAGGCTGAGGCAGCAGGACTGCCACAAGCTTGAGGCCTGCCTGGGCTACACAGTGAGTTCAAGGCCAACCTGAACTCCACAGTAAGACCCTGTCTCAAAAAACAAACAAACAAACAAATGAACAAAAAGAACACTGTGGGACCCAGAGCTGTCCTGGCAGCACCTAAGCACAGTGGCAGCAGCCCAGCACCCAATATCTGGTGCTGCGTCAAATTCACAATACAACAACATAAACGGACCCTCTAAAATCATGGGCAAATGACCCACAAACATAGCTACAGAATGCCCTGTGTGCAGCAAAGGTGATGCTAGTGTGTGCCAGGGTGCAGAGAAGTCCTCTGAGGACAAGAGGAGAAGGTGGAGGGGGCCACCAAGGGTAGGCGACTGGTTTTCTTTAAAACTTTTTTTTCCCTGCATTTCACAAGTTCTCCATAGAGAACACACCTTAGTTTTAAAGTTACAAAAAAAAAAAACCACTGAGGAGTGAGAACCTAAAACAGACATACCCCAGTCTTTGGGGGGTCTGGACTGAGCTGAGCCCTACCCCTCAAGCCGAGGTGGCATCTGTCCCCCACACCTGGCTCCCCACATCCGCCTACCACCAACCCCTCTCTGTCCCACAGCCAGCAGCATCTGAGTGACAAGAACACACTGGCTCTCCAGTGCCAGAAATAAGCCCGTCCACACAGGCCTTTTTTAAACATCTCTTGGCAGCCTGCAGCATCCACCCAGCCCCAGCCTCCAGGTAGGGCCTCTCCCGCCTCCACAGGCACCCAATTCAGACTCACCACACACACGGCTGCCACCCCCCTTACAAAGGTGGAGGACACCAGACCACTCCTGCCCACCCTAGGCTCACTCACACTCAGAGGCTTCCCCACCCGGAAACAGGTGGCCATCACTCTGGTCACCTGGGCCACATCAAGCTCTCAGACTTGAGGAAGGGGGTGAGCTGTGAAAGATCCTCAAACTGAAGCCTAGAACCCCCAATCCTTCATGCTGAAGGATCTGCAAGGTGGCACCAGGACCACGGAGGGAGGTCAGCTAGCCACTTCAGGTTGTGAGCCAACCTGTGTCTGAGGTGAAGAAGTTGAGGCTGGAGCCATCTGGTGCCCAGCTGGTGAGGGCACACCCTCCCTACATCTGGAAGCCTGGCCTGGAAGGTCTGGGTGTTCCCCATAGGCCTTGCTGTATAAATGTCTGTCCCTAGGTGTGACCTACCATGCCCCTTCCAACTGTGATGACCATCAGGGTCTTCTAGAGAAGGCCAAGGGAAGGCAGAAGACCCCACCAGGCCAGGGTCGTCAGCCACTGTGGGGCAGGCACTGGCAACCGGGCCAGGCCACACTTACGCAGGGACACCTTAGCTCTGGAATGGACCATAGGAGAGCCCATGGTTGATCGCTGGGAGAGTTAGGGGCTCTGGGTGACTTGGTCCTCTCTTGAGCCCGTGGGAGGGAAGGGGCTGCAGCCACACCCAGGGACTGGCTGGCACACTCAGAGGTGCCTAGCCAGCACTACTGTCCCCCAGGATTCACCTGTCCCCTGTGCCCCAGGACGCAAGCACTCCACGCTGCAGCCCCTCTCCCCAGGGCTGGGGCTCGCCCCTCTTGCCCCACCCCACCCTACCCCGCCCCGTCCAGCCCACCGGCAGCTGCCCCTTGCCCGCGGAGCAGCGCCAGGCCCGCTCCCCGCTGCCATCTCGACCCCGGGCGCGGCGCCGACTCACGTGAACACGAAGAAGAGGGTGCTGGAGCCCACCAGCAGCGCGGCGGCCGTGGCCACCGGGATGTACTTGGCGGGTTTGAGGCGCGTCCCGGGGCTGCGGGGCATCCTGGGCGCCGCGCCGCGGCATCCCTCCCCGGGGCCGGGCGGG